TAATATATATATATATATATATATATATATATATATATATATTGAAAAACTAGATTTAAATTCTACAACCATATATAAATAATCTAGATTTAATATTAAATGATCACTTAAAAAGTCAAGTAACATTTTAAAAATCTTATATGACTTGATTGTTTTAATCTTGATCATTTATGATAAAATTTAATAATCAACCATTATTCGATTTGCTCTAAAAAAACTCTCTCACTAAATTTAATAACAAATGATTATTCATGTTAGACTCTACCGATGTTGACGCAAAATAAAAATAAAATCATTTTAATGCCTAAAAAGCCTCTAAAAATTTGATTTTAATCCTATTGACGTAGACATCATGGCACTTAACGTGTCACCCATTATCTGGTATGTCACTAGAGCCTTTTAACAATTGTAGATTAAGTGTATGTTTATTTTTCAGTTACTTCCAACTGAACACTAATTCAACATCCACCTTCCTTTTACGTTTTTTTCCTTGTAGGATGAGAAAAGTTCATAACGGCGTTCAAAAGGAGAAACAAACACACCCTAACTCGTTTAATGAAATGCAAATTCCAAGACTTTTTGTAATTTTCCTTCTTCCATAGACTAATTTGTCATTCACTCACACTTTTAGAGACAAATTTGGTGATTCACTCGTTTATTTGAATTGTCAGTTAATATTTATTCTTCAAACACTTTGAGGTCACACATGACACACAAACACTGCTACTCACCCCTACAAAAGTTCTCTTGCATGAATTGTACAGTGCTCTTTTGCGAAAGAAACAGCAAACAAACAAACAGTCTGAATTGAACAAATACAAGGAAACTAATAAAGGTGAATTTGAAAAAAGTAATTAGTTAGCATCACTATAAAAAAAATTGTCTTGCAATTATACACACCCCACTTTATAGTAACAATTGTTACTAAAAGTAATTTCAATAGTGATATTTTCATAATTGTTAAAAAATATAGTATAAATTATAATAATATATAATATATGTTGTTAAATTTTATTTAAAATAAATATATTAAAATTATGTTCGAGTATATATTAATAAAATTATGTTTACATATATTATATTTATAATAACCTTTTTTTATAATAATATCTTTTCGTAGTATTTCATACGTGTTCATTACTTTCAGGATCCTTATCTAAAGTTCGATAATGGATACAAGAGTTGAGAATGGGTACAAACCAGATAAATCGTAGTGGTGAGTGCAGTCAGTGCAAGAGACTTTGCCCTCTACCGTTTGGCATGCTGAGGGGCTAATTCTGGCTACAGCTAATGCCAAAACAAGTGCTGACATCGTAACTTGACCAAACGCCATCACCTATATATATATGGAAGCAACAAGCATTCAAGCAAGCAATATTAATATCAGATATGAAAAGCTAGAGAACTTGTAAGAGATGAAGATAATTTGAAGCTTATATATAGTGGCATGGCAGCTTCAGACAAACATATTAAATGTGGGGTTCTAGAGCTGTTAAAGTAGTTGGTATCACCAACTGTGTAGTTATTTATGGTTTATCGAGTGAAGTCCTGCTTAGTCTGCATTACTTCAAAATATCCAAATAATTATTTTAACAACACAAGATTATAGCTACATAAGAAGAGAAAATAGAGTATACAGTTTAAAAACTCTTTATGCTGTCATTTAATCACCAACAATAATATAATTCTCTTAGTTCAGTAGTAAAGCTTATGTACAAACTTTGATTATGGTTAATTACAACTGCTATTTCTAACGAGATCTAGATTTTCAAACTTGAAGGTTAATTTGTAGTCTTGCCTAATATGCCTATCTAGTGAATATTACCAAACTTGATCACATGTTTTTTATTTTTATCTTTATCTTTATTCTATTTCTATTTTTTTTTCCATATCGTTTAACAGTAAATAAGTGTTCATTCATCGTTTTTTTCTTTCTTAAATGAGTGTATGTATATATATAATAAGATCAGCAATAGATACCTATCTAGACACGTTTTTTTGTAGGTTCTAATAATTCTCTAGATACTACGTGATAAAGTAACCTGCTTGAAAAATAAATTAAATTAGATTTTTAAGTGGCTGAACACGTGTTATACAAATTGATGAGTTAGGTCTAACTTTGCAACGAATTATTATACTTTTCTCTTTGGAAAAGGTGACTATTTTTAAAACAGATAATGCTTTTCCGTGACTAATTCAGCTTCTAATTACAGTCGGCATATATAGGTTTATCCGATACCAACATATTGGCTATGCTGAGCATATTTTAAAACCTCTATATGCTGAATATTAAAACTAATATATCTCGAGACCAATTCTTGAATGAGTGTCATATTGTTAAATGAGTAATTAACTTTTTAATATTAAAAGATGGTAGTTCAAGATTATATATATATATATATAGGGAATGCTTTCATTTATTTTTTTTATTAAATAGAAATTTAATAGGAGAGAAAAATGACCTAGAGAATAAAATTAATAAGAGAGAAAATATTTTATTTTTATTTAAAATTAAATTATTATAATATCATTTGTACGAATTAATCAAATAAAAAAAATGAGTGATTTTTTTATCCTAAAATTTTGGTGTAGATTACTAACATACTCTCACTAAAAAATAGGTAAGAGTATATTACAACCCACTTAATCCATTTATTATTATATATATATATATATATATTATTGGTAACACCGTGATTAGTATATAAAATGAACTTCTATTATTTATCAACATTCTTTTAGAATAAAACATGTTATAAAAATATTCATTTTATATATATTTACGGTTTAACATTTTTAATTGAAAAGATTAAATTTTAACTGCAGGGTTATATATACAGGTTCTTAATTATCTTTTTTTATTTTTTCTCAAATTTAATTGATTGATTTTCTATTCCATCAGTTTTTTGGGTTGTCTGTACCAAATTTGATTGATTCTCAATTCAATCAGTTGAACTGATCAATTAATCCAATTTTAATAACTATATTTGCAACTAATTAAATAAAAAAAAAATGGGGACAAAAAAGTAATTAGGATATGTATAATTAATGCCTAGTTCAAGTGCACCGATCTCGCTCTATTATTAAGTAGGATAAAGTAGGTTTTGTTGTAACAAATCTCCTGATAGAAGGAATTAGTAACAGCCACTAATTAACTTAGAACTTCAACATGAGAGCATTCATTTCAACGTTCTTATGTTCTCTAGAATGGCAGGTGCACTATCTTGCCCTAAATATTAATGAACCATAATTGGTTGGTTATGGGTCATCATCGTCTCTTTCATGTACACCCAAATAAGATTAACATAGTATATATAATTATACTCTTTAAATTGAGAAGTTTGATCTCATATAAGATAATACTACTACTATTTATCAAGAGAAGTTAATTTCTTAAACGAGTCTTAAATATCAAGATTTTAGGGTTTAGGGTTTAATTTTTGACCGGAAAATATTTTGAACAAAAAATAATTGAGACCTATAAATAAATCATAAAGATTATTTAAATTATAAGTACCATATTTAAAAAAAAAAATAGTTTTTCTTTTCTCGTTACACAACTGGAAATTAAAAAAAAAAAAAAATTTTTTTTTTTCCCTTTCCCCACCGGAAAATTAAAAAAAAAAAAAACATTGTGATTCCCAGCAAGAGTGGGGAAGTGTGATAACTGCATACCAAGGATGCTCATTCACAACCTCCTCCATGGTTCTTATTGGTTTCTTTCTCCTATTTCTCACAATACTAACAATTATACACTTTATTATTCTCACTTGTGCCTCTATGTAGTATGTATTCAACATGTTAATAATCATCTGACATATGATTAGAGACTAATTTTGTTCAAATCGTAGAGATCATAAAAGCAAGTTTTGTCTCTTTTAAGAAACTCTTTTACATACGTACGTATGATAAAAAAAATCAAAATTTTGTTAACAAGTCTAGGAATTTAGCTATCAACCAAGTGAACTACAGCTCATTGGTTATCCGCTTGTGATATTGATCATTGAAATTCAACTAAAATTTTGTTGGGAGATTTTAATTGAATGCTTTCACGTGGAAAATTTTGTTTCCATTTACCAAATGAGTGCCGGCTATAGGGCACCTTTACCACCACCAACATTTACACAAGTAGTTATTTTCACTTTTCCGCTGTTTCTCTCAACTGCATATATGAAACTCCAACAATTATACTCACAACTTCTTGTGGATCCAATTATTGAAAAGGAGAAAGTTGCTATTTGGCACGAAAAAGTGGTAATTTTTTTTGGTAAAATATAGTTCATTGCCAAAGATAAACTCGTGACCAATCAAGGTGTAACGAAATAAAAGGTTTTTTTAGAATTAAATGTTTTACGCCTCAGTTTCTTAATCAAACATTCGGAAGCTACGATCTCCTAACTTTAAACTTTCTCTATAAGTGTTATAATTTTTTTATATTCAATTACGTACATTAAGAGAAAATAGTATACGCCCTCACTATATGAAATGTTTTTATATTGACATCCAAGCACACTTTGTCATACATGATAACTTTTTTAAATTTATTAATAACCATCTTGAAAATTATATATCTACTATTATTTCTAAAAGATTACAATATAGTTTTTTTAGCATGAACAATTCATGGAAATTAAAGTTACATTAACCATTAGTGTTTCTAATTTGTAATACAATATTTGATTATAAATCAAAATTTTCATTTTGTATGTATATATATTATTTGTAAGAAATAATTTTGCTTGTGGAACGATCCAAATTTATGTGGGCATGCACCTCTTACTTTGTATAATGATAATTAATTTTCTAACAAACATTTTAATTAAAGACATATATTTAGCTTAAACATGCAATGCTTCAAGAGAAGCGAACTCATTGTAATGGTTAAGAAGGGTTGTGTAACTCATGAATGGAGCAACTTTTGGATTTCATATAAACAAGCTAAGAAAGAGGGTTTGTTGGCACATTGATGATGATAGGGCATTTGAAGTGCAGAACGTGAGATAGAGAATAAAGTGTTTATTTAGAAATGTATTACGGAAGCAGGTAGCTACTCCACCGCAGAAGTAGTAAATGAAGCAAACGGAATTGTTGTAATCAAATCAAGGAATTATTGGAATGAGGCATTAAGAGAAGAAAGGATCACTCAATATGGCAATGTCAATGTGTAAAGTGGGGACACAAAATGTTATAATATGCATGGCATGATGAGAAGATTTAGCACCGTAAAGAAAAAACGAAAATCACCCGGTTTTAGTCATTAAAAGTGTTCGGCAAACTAATAATAAGTTGTTTATATATCTTAAGTAACCTGATCGAAAATTCAATTTCTAAATTGTGTCTATGGAATAATATTTATGAGAAGAACCCAGTGCCTTAAATGAGTTTTATTAATACTTGAATAAATTAGTCTTCACCTCTTGAATAAGAGATACTTGGATTAAAAAAAAAGTATTAAATTCCTGCAACTTAACTATAGATGGAGTTGTGATTGTGACAGAATGAATGCCTGCCCCATACCACTAGATGCTCAATCTTGCATGGATGTATAGAAGCCATGCTTATCATCTAGCAAACTGAGATACAGTCTCTTAAATTAATGTTTCTAATGTTGGTTTATCTTTTAATCATATTTTCTTAGTTTCTTTCGTGTCATAATACTATCGAGAAAAAGATTTTTAAAATTGATTGTTTGATAAATTTTAAAAGAGTTGATTTTGTAAATCTTGACTTTTAAAATTAATTATTTTATAATTAATTTAAAAGTCCAACATAGTTTCTGTGTTATAAAATAATTGACCATAAAATTAGTTATTAATTTTTATCAGAGACCATGAGTACATATAATATCATGTTAAAATTAGGATTTGAATATTGATAAATATCTTAAACTATTAATTTTCTTAATTTATGTTTAAAAACTTTTAAATTATGGTCATTGTGATACGGAAGAAATAATAGTTGATATTAGTCATGAAGCATTGGGAAAGAGGCTCATTAATTTGCACGATTGAGTTGCGCCATTGTTGTGGCTTGAGTGAGGGAATTAGCATCATGGATTGTTTTGCGCCCTAGGAACATTTTTATCTATATAATAACATCGTGGATTGTTTAAAAGGGGTATACTTTTTTAACTCGTAAAGGCACTGGTTTTTTATGGAACCTCTAATGTATGCAAACATCACATTGTATCTTTTTATTTGGCAGTTGGCACACAATGAGCTTCACATGCAAACCGACTGATTTCTTCTCTATCAGAAAACGAGGTAAGAAGGTTGCATTAAGCTTAAGCATAACCTTATGCTAATGTTAAGACTTAAGAGGGTGACTCATGCTAAGTAATTTTAGCTGAATGCAAGCCATAGCCGAGAAAGATTTTGGATGCTACAAGAGTCAAAAGATTTAGGATTTAATACATTCATCATAAAAATTTCTGATTCAAAGACACACCAGAACTCATAATAGAAAAATACATAAGTAGTAACCTGTATATATGTTGTTTAAGATAAATATTTTTCGTATAATTAAAATTATGTAAACAAATATTTGAATCTATTATATTATAATAAAAATATAATTTCGTTTTAAATTAAATTGTAATATTAATTTTTAATCTAATAAAACATAGAATTTACTCATTTTTATTGATTTAAAATTTTTCTAAATCTTAATTTCTCATGATTTTATATTATTTTATCATTCAAGATATTATATAATATTAAAATACAAATTTAATTACTACCAATTTGACCAGTTTAACTATGAATTAATAAATTGTGAATCAGTGCTTTCACCAATTTCATTGTGAATCCAGTTTTTAAAACATTGGTCTTAGACGTACATCCCCCAAGAAAAGAAAAATATTATTAAAAATGTCTGAAGAAAGTGAGACTTTCTTTTTAAATCACGTAATCTAATTTTAATATAAATATGTGTTAAGAATACAAACAGTACATCAAAATTAAATTCATAATAGCAATAGCTTTTATATGATAAAAACCAAATTTACAATATATTCTAAAAATTTAAGTGTTAAAATTTAAAAAATGAAATGCAAAAGTTATTTCATAAACATAAACTCGAAAAATTACCAAAACCATAAATTGTAAAAAGAAAATTTTAAATATCGTACTCAAAGACAAATGAGGAAAAAGACGACCAAAGTGCAAGAAACTCCATTCTGCTCCAACAGAAGGTAGTATTTAATTTAGTTCCGTTTGCCCAAACACCCTGATAGAACCCAAAATTGCTTGAAATAAATGGAATGAATATCCTTACAAGTTACAAAGGTCTTGCCTATTCTAGATAAGACAATTAAGTGATATATTCGTTCATTTGTGGGAATGACCCGTGTACAAAATAATCCAACAACCATATTACATCTTGCAGAGTCTAAATAAAATCTGAATCTTTCGCTAAGCTACCCACGTATCATCTACCATCGAATTGCTCTGCTGTGTATATTACTTCATTTATTCCAAGATAGTATGGTGGCTAATCAAGTACTTTTCATCACACAAACATATGACTTGGCTAAAATATCATCTGTATATGAACATCAAAAATTAACAAAGGAAAGCCAAAGATCCTTGTGATGCATTTGACTTGGTAAAATATGAACAAGTACTGAAAAAAAAAGATAAAGTAAAGGACAGAAGTCTAAATATTTGTTCTTTAGAAAAACAAGAGACGACTAGTCCCACCTGCAACTCCAAAAGTCAAAATACCTAGCAATTTGATCAGACACCGCAACTGTTAACAACTAGCAAGACAATTAGGATTATACATACTGCCTAGCATAACGCCCTGCTCTATTTCCACAACTAATTCTTTTGTGCGTTGACCACCATATAACAAAAGATTGTGATGTTTATACTATGCTTTTATTTTAATCGATCAAAACACAGGGTAGTGGATATGCATGAATGAAATACATATATGGAAATAGCCATTACTCAATAAAAACTAAAATAAGTGGATTGGAAGGAGAAGAACCAGAAGATACTGTAGATAAGTTACATACATTGGGTATGTGTCATAACTTTCACAAATAAAGACGTGTTAGTCAAACTTATTTTAGTGATTTAGATAAAAGAAGTACAAGACCTCACATATTTGAGGGTTCAAAGAATCCATCACATCCAGTCCCAAAGGATGAATTGTCGGTTTATGCCAATTAACGGGAGCATCATCCAAGATATTTAAAAAAAATCATAGAAGACATCTAAAGGAGTAAGGTGGCAAGCCTCATGCAATGCATTGCTGAGGTAAGAAACCAACTCATCATCTTCCTTTCCATCCTCTGTCATTTCCCAATATGCACAAAATGAATACCCCAGTTCATCGCCACTCCTTACCCTAAAGTTTCCACAACCAGATCAACACTAACTCCATGTCCACCGGTTTCTTTCTAGTCTGTCAGACTATAGATCCAAAAAACAAATACCACTAACAACGTAATTATCATAACTCCTCAATCCACTAGAACAAGACCATAACTGCATCCTACTTTTACCACAAAGAAACTTTCAAAGTTTATTTTGAAACAATCACAGCAGATAATCAGGTGATGACAAATCTGTGTGTTTGAATGACCAACATTCCAAAACTGAGCTACCTAATTCCTTGCACAGTCCAGCTCAAGTGTGTGTTTGAAAAACAGTCTGGTATATTTGTTTGGTCCATAGACATATTCACACTATATCAAAAATTGATAATTACGGACTAATTTGTATTTGTGACTTTCACTAATCATACATTATTTTAGGACTAAAATCATCTGGTATAATGCAAAAGGGAATTCTCACTTTCCAAAGCATAAAAATAAGAAGCAAATAGTTGTTGCTTTTATTTGACCGGACGTTTAGAAGCGTTCTAACTGCAATTATTCTTTTTCCTTTATTACCAAACACTACATAGCTTCAACAGGAGTCTGCAAACAATGTGGTTCAAACAAAGACACATCCCAAAAATCCGATACAGTTGATTCATATTGACTCCAAAAACTATCAGCAAACAGCAAAACATCTTCCGATGATTTAAGGGATCGGTGATTTAAAACTGGAAACACATTCATTATTGTATAACACCAATAATCAAGTACTCAGCAATTCCATTATTGATAAGGACTTCAACTTTACAATCAATAGAGGTTTTAGGGTTTTCAAATATCCTAAAAGGTAAACAAACACATCTAAAGAATGAAAATGAAAAAACCGAAAATCCAAAAGCGATTGTTGAATCAATCAAATCAATCAATAAAACCTATTTGACGCCAAACGGCATTGCGAACCTGACGCAAGTCTCTTCCCTTCAGCGTCCTTCCTACTCCTTCGAGAACCGAGTACGCCATCATCGGACTCTGCGCCGCGTTCCGCGCCACAATCTCGTGCGGCGGCAGCATCTCCTCATCCTCCACCGCGTCGCCACCGTCGTCGTCGTCGAAGTCGCGGCGCCTCCGCTGCGGCATGACCGGCACGTTCACCGGCGCGGACTGGTGGAACTTGACGGAGGAGGAGGGAGTCCGGTCCGGCGGAGGCTTGGGGATGGCCGGGATGGGGCGCGAGGAGGAGGAGGAGGAAGAGGAAGAGAGGGAAACGGAGACGGAGGGTTTGTGGTGGAAGAGGTGCGAGCCGTTGGGGGAGAGGTGGTCGTTCTCCGGCAGCGCGGCGAGGATGCCGAAGGCGTCGGGAGGACCGAACGCGAAGGCCTTGTGGTGGTGGTTGTGGTGGTTGGGGATGGAAAAGGAGGAGGAGGAGGAGGAGGAGGGTTCGGTGGAGTCGTGGTCGTTGTGGGAGAAAACGACGTCGTCTTCGATTAGGTCGTCGTCGTCGTCTTCGGTGGCGGGGGCGGGGTAGGGAGGGTTTTGGTTGCGCGGCGCGTGGGTTGGGACGCCGAGGAAGCGCTCCGTGGAGGAGAGGGCGGGTTTGCGGAATCGGGTCGGGCCGTTTAGATCCATTAGAGGTTCGGGTTCGGAGCTAGAGAAAGGTGTGAGGTGAATTTTGAAGGAGATAGATATTCGACACAGAAAAATAATAATGGCTGTGTTTTTTTTTTTCTTTTTTTCTTTTTTCTTTTTTTCTTGTGTGTATTATTGAGTTGAATGGAATCTTGTTAATTGTTATTGGGTATTGTTGGGCGTGGATGCTAAATAATCGATCAACGTGGAAAAACCACAGCACTCGAATGCAACAAACTATGCCTATTTGCCATATTATTTTATTTTCATTATGATATTAATTAATGTAAAATATTAACTATTTTTTTATCTTTAAATTATATATTATTATTTTAAATTAAAATATCTATAGTTAGAAGGTTAATTATTTGTATACATGTTTGTAAAATCTAAATTAATTTTAAATTATTTCTTTGAACTTTAATTCGTGTGTATATTAATACTATCTTAAGAATAGACAGGGGAGGCGCGCATCTCAAGTGTAAACATCAAACGTCAATACGTCATACACACTTCTCTGTTTATTTTATGCAAAAATGTTCATCATACATTCTGAAATTGAGGTATACATTTTTTATTGATCATAAAAATATATAAAAATAATAATAAAGTGAAATGAATTAGAAAAAAAATAAATTTTTTATATATTATTAATTAAGATGAAATAATTGTGTATTAGTTAATTTATGCATTTGTGAATGGTGGCAATATTAGAGATGTAATTGGTTAGAAATTTGTTAGTAAAGGATTTTGTTAGCTTATATAACGCAATACAATCGTATTGTTGACACTTTTTTCATTATCAATGCTGTAATACTTTTTTAGTTTTATCATTTTGTGTACAAAATTAATTAATATTTGATTACATTACTAATCAGTTTAAACATGATCAAATAGATTATATTATTAATCCATTTTCTTTTTGTGAAATATAAAATCACAAGTGGTTGCAACTTACAAGAATTTATAGAAAAGTTATAACAAATATTTTTAATATTACTTAGAAGGGAATAATAATAGTATGTTGAGATTATTAACAAAGACTCATTTAAAAAGATTATTGTACAATTTTTAATCATAAGTAATTTAACTAGTTATAACTATTGAATTAATACTTAGATGTCAGAAATCTTTCGAAAGAAAGTTGCCTGTTAAATAAAAAAAAAATGACTTGTGAAGAAAATTAGAACTCACTCATAATTAAAAAAAAAATGAAAATTAGATCTTGTTATCTACTCATGTCAACCATATATATTTATCATTCGTTACCAAGTATGATAATGTATTGTACATGTAACGTGGCTGAAAAGTAGCCTTACTGAACACAAGCAGTATAGTTGGTAAAAGCCTGAGATCCAAGATTAACAGATAGGCACATTAATAACAAAGTATGAACTAGCTGGTTCCTCTAAAGAAAAGGAATATTATCAAATGTAATTAACTTAATTAAGCTACCGTTTGCAGTTTGTTGGATACACCGCGTACAAGTAATTAACTATTGATGCACAAAACTTGAAACGGTTGGTTTTGTTTGTATTCAACGGACGGTGACTGCAGCTTCAGAAACTCCAGCAATGTGAAAATTGTTTTTAATGTAGATCACAAACATATATTTGGAAGAAAAGAGGACAAAATTGTTTTTTTAGATTAAATTATATTGCTTAGTTTCTTTTTTTTTTTTTTAACACAGAAGGCAATGTGAAAATGACAATTATTGATTTCCTCATCCAATTAAATAGAGGTATAATGTTTTTTTTTTTTGATAAGCATAATGTAGTTATTAAATAGAGGTATACATCTTTACCAAAAAAAAAATAAAATAGAGGTATACATGATTTTTTTATTTATTATTAATGAGCTAGATTTGAAATTTGTAAAATATCAATAGTTTTTAACCAAAGCTAATAATTTATTATCATTATGATCCCTAACAAAGCTAATAACAGAGATTAACTTGACTAACAGATTCCATGAAAGATTTATTTAACATTTTTAATACTTTAGCTAGGGATTGTTACGACAAAGCCTGCAAATTAGGAAGTAAAATAAGCTTTACTCAAATAATAACTCATCTAGACATACCTATCACTTCTACTTGTGATTACGGCTGTCTTTATTTCAACTTAAAAATATTTTTATGATATAATTTTAAAAGATTTAAATATTTCCTTGTCTCTAAGTACTTATCATTTATTTTTTCTTTTAGTTTCTCAATAAAAATAATAATTATTAATATATATA